TTTTTGTCTTTCAGGTTTGGTCCCTGCACTGCTGTTTTCTGCCCTGTCGGCTGGAACAGGTTCACCTGTTGCGTGACTGTCTCCGGGATTGCATTCCTGCCACACTGTGTAACACTCAGCTTTGTTTTCCTTTTCGGGCAAGCGTTGGATGAATGACCGGATTGGATTTCGGCGGCGTGGCAGCCATCTCTCTGTTCAGTTGGGACGGAGGGCATACGTCAGGCACCAAAAATCAATTTCATGTCACATCCTTCGCTCCTCATGCTTTTATTTCTTGTCCTCACGTGGTCAACTCCCCGCTGATTGAGCAGCATGACCAGCATCATGTTCGCGCTTGAAGAATAATTCCCCAAAAGGTTTACTGTTAGGGCTTCTCAATTCTTTCTTAAAATGTGTCCGCCCGCTCTGTACTGCTGTGTCCGTCTTTGCCTTGCAATCCTTTACATTTGTCTCCCAGCTCTGGGCTGCTGCGGCCGCCTCTGCCTTGCAATCCTTTGTCTCCCAAGCTCTGGACGTCGCAAGCTCTAGTTTCGATTTTGAAAACACAAACTGTTTGGGGTCTACGGTGGTGTAATTTTGGGTGGGGGGTTGGGTGGGGTGCATTGGTGAAAGGGCCAAGCTGTATGAAAGAACTTGATTTGCTTGGGACATATGTGGACATAAACCGAGTCCAACTCTCCTTTCGACACGAGCAAGCACATTCTCACTGGAGATACTTTTAGGAAAGGTGTTCATGGTCAAGCTTTGGCTCCAACAAGCCTCACAGGATTCGTTCAACTCCAAGCGCTGGGGACCACCTGGGGCCACCCGGGACCACGAGGGAACTGCGGCTCCGCACCCAAGCCGCTGAGCCGCACGCACGCGGTGGTCGGCAGGTGGGTCCCCTGCACCGGGCCTGGAGCCCAGTGAGGCGATGACTAATCGAGCTGGGGCTTTCAACAGGTGGAGACAAGCCAAACCCCTACGGCGTGAGGCGAGTTTCGCGATGTACCGTGCGTGGTTTCACACGCGGCAGCAGAGCGGTTCGGGAGCGAGCTGCGTCCCAGGATCTCTCTCCGGGCGAGCGGTTCCTGCGCGGCGTCTTCTCGGGCTATGACCGGGGGCCCGGTTCGAAAGCGATACGGAGAGGTGATCGGAAAGGGAAAGCTACCAGACGGAGGTGTGCACCCGTTTCAAATGCATTGGACGCTGGCCAAATTACTTATAAGGGCCTAGGATTCTGAGAGCGCTGCAGATGTCTAGTTCCAGTTTTTTTCATGTTTCTTTTTTCTTTGGGGGTGAAAAGTTTAAGGGCGACCGATCCTGTTTTGGTATTGTTAGTTGGTGACCAACTCATATTACTAAGACAGAGGCATACTGATCACAGGGTGGTCACGGCACAATCTGCCACGGAAGGCCTTCTACATTGACCCGGATTCAGAAAACATACACTCCGACTGGGAAGGGGAGCTCACTCCGTCGTTTACGGACCATGCCATCCACTTTCCACGTGAGTCCAGTGTCGTTTCTCTGTAGGTTCCATGTAGCATGGTGTCAGGCACCGCAAACTCGAGGATGTTTGATTTTGGGGGCGCCAAGCAAAAAGTTTCAGTCCAGCAAGGCCTCGGGCATGGCGTGGTGGCTGCAGCTGGGAGAAGAAGGAGATTGGTCAGAGGCGCAGCTGGGAATGAGGACCTTTGGACCGCTTGAAAGGTCTTACACCCCCTAGAATCATCATGGAAGTGAACAAGACATGGCACCGATTTCGACGCAGAGGACCATGAAATCATAATCCGAAGACCAAAGAGTTGATGGTGAACTCCACGAAACCATGCTGATTCCAAGGAAACCCCGCCACTAGGAGCAAGGGCATCGCTACGAACGGAGCAAGGACGCTACTAGTAGCTCCTGGCCTTACTACTAGGAGCAA